CTTAGCAAAGACTTTATAAGCTTCAACTTTATAAAATCGAAGGTAGGAAATGGGAAGTTTAAAATGTGCTGACCTCCAGCTCGTCTTCGTCTCCTTTGCGCACAGGACTATCACTCCGTTGTACTTGTCTCCATTGTCCACCTCGTCTTCTCCTGTATTTGAGCACCATATGCTTACGTCCTTCATCATCACTAGCACCAGCTGTACCACGCATGGAGTCGACTCTACAGCGTTCTGTGAGTTCCGAGTCGGATAGGGTTGCTAGAAAATATTGAAGAAAAATGTACTGCGTCCTTGTACCACGAAGCCTTTAGCTACCAAGCTATGATAATAGGACATTTGCCATCGTGTTGTGAACCAGATGCACTAAAGAGTTATTGCTTATTCCAAGTTAATAGTTATCAAATTAAAGACATCCATTCCAATTTGTGATTAATATGTGCTCAGTTTCAAACAAGCGAGAAAAACGTCCCATACTTATTCACTCCACACCCGAACTGCAAGGCAATCGCAAAGTATGCCTGCGGTCAACTAACCACCTCGGCGAAGTAGAAGAACGGACAGGAGTTACGAAATTCCCATGATTATCTAGAGCTTAAAGCGCTAAGGGCCCTTTCCTTCGTCCAGGATCGGAACATAAGACTGTAAACAGCCAAACTAAACTGGCAGAATATAACCACAAGAAGATCGGATCAACTCATTATTCTATCAAATACCGTCTCACAGGAGAGGCCGATGGGAGGTTTACCTAGTTATTTGGATTCGCTTGCCATTCAATAGACATGATCGTAACTCTATATCATGACACCCTTCAATTTTAAAAACAAGGAAGAAATAACCACATACCAAAATCTTCATCATCGGAGTTTGGTTGAGAGAGAAGATGTGTGGTTCGACTGTAAAACACCTCCATTTGCTCCCCAGTACGTCTAGCTCCAGGGTTTTTGACCTGAACGTCCAAACTAGCTATGGTAAAAAGTCACCTATTACACAACTTTACCTGCACAGTTGTGCTGTCGTCAACGATCCTATCCCCACCGAACTCATAACCGCTCTCGTGCAAAACCTGACTGAGGGCTTCACTTATATCGCGTTCCATATCTGAAAACAAAAACTGGCAGGCTGATAAAAAAGAATAAAAAGCCACGAAAAGAAATAGCAAGTTGTGAGAGATCACAGTCACAACGAATAGCCAGTAATTCAGTATATAGCAGGCTTATTTAGATATTTACCAGTGCAATACGTGGAGTTATAAAGTAGGCACAGATGCAAAGGGTCGAAGTACCACGAAAAGTCGAAGGTAACATAAGTCCGAAAAGTACACGACCGATAAGATAGAGATACTTAACAAAAAGGCAGCGCGATAGCAGAGTGTTACGGCTCATAGCACATTCAAGCATTTTTTGCACGACACTGATACGTTTCGGTGAATCGACCAACTATTCTGCACGTAATTCGAAAGGGAAAAGGATAGTAAACACCATTCAGAGTTCGCGATCGTACATGAGATTAGGCGAATGATTTCGTATAGAAGGAAGTGTGCTGTGCTAGGTAGTAGGCGAGTAGCTCGATAACTGAAGGATACGTATTGGTTGTGACGTTCAGGGCCCATTGGGCGATCGGCCGAATCGCTACTCGCCCACTGCTCCCGCTTGATATGGTGTCCCATCACTTAGGCCGCGTTCATAGTTCGCGACTGCGGAGATTAGGATAGTACGCGACAATGAAAAAAATATGTATTGACGGGGAGATTTAGGATAGTGCGCTGACAAGATTAGATATGTATTGATCTATTCGCTTGAAGTCGCCCAATCTACTACTCTCCAGCGATTTCAATCGATACGTATCCAATCTTGTCAGCGCAATCTCCTACTCTACTACTATCCTAATATCCTGTCGCCTACTATCCTAATCTCCCGAGTCGCGAACTATGAACGCGGCCTTACAGCTAATCGCGTAATCGCCTATTCGCATGTACGAGCTCCGAACTCTAAAAGCTGCCCAATTGTTACTTGTCATGATGAAAAAACCAAACAAAACCGCCGGTCATGCTTGGCCACTTCTTGCGATTCGTCTGCAGGGCAGTGTTTTTGTTCTGGAGTAGATACTTACGATCATGCGATCAACAGGGATCGCCTAATTGATACGCATCTATAAAACACTCAAACGGGAAGGCGGTTGCAAAGTATGACCCCCTACAAGAAAGTCTGGACTTCGAAGCAAATGAAGAATAGAGAATTCAATTCCGAGTAGAGCCACAAATAGAACATCGCTGAACAAAGGTAGAAATTGCCTGACTCTTGGATACAAACCAAGAGTGTCACAAATCACTTTAACAATTTCAACAAAGTGTTTTGCATGAATATTCTGAGTTTCCGCATGACACGAGAAAACGAACACTATCGTAAACAATCTAGTATGCCCGGTGGTAAACACAGGACATTGCAGGAGTGACAACTCCTCTGAGCATTGCCAATACGCAAAAACACATTTACGCAAGCTTTTTCTCACAAATGCGAGGTGGAACGTGAACGTTAACCTCATGATTACGTAAAAATGAAGTCAAAACCGCATCAAAAAACAACCAGATTTTTTTAAAATTATGAAGAAAAACACTGCTTGAGACTTTAAAATTTCTACTGAAAGAAGTAGAAGGTGTCAATTAAAGTTCAAATCATTCCAACCAAACAGCAGACTTTTACTTCAACGTATCTTTGCAAGGCCTCACACCAACCAATCAACCATCAAGCAAGTGTCAGACTTTGCCGAACAATCGCTAGCTAATTGCGCTAGCGACTCGAGAGACATAACTGAATACTAATGCTTCGCTGAATTCATTAGCGATTGATCGCAAAATCTGACACCTGTCCGAAACTAGTCACCAACGGGCATATAACGATTTTATTTTTATACCAAAGCTGATCTTTTATGTTTGATGAAAAGGACGTGAGGCCCGTGTATACAAGGCGGCGTTCCTTGGCCAAGGTTAAGGAATTAGGACTGGCCGATGTCAGACTTTGCGATTGGAAGCGATTTTGCACAATTGCAGGAGCGACGGATCGCTCCAAAGTGCGAGCGACGGGAGATTTACCCCGCGACGACCGATACACACGGCGCCGCTCGGGTAAATCTCCCGTCGCTCGCACTTTGGAGCGATCCGTCGCTCCTGCAATTGGTGCAAAATCGCTCCAAGTCGCAAAGTCTGACATCGGCAGTGGAATGGATTACCTATTTCCCAACACCAGATAAAAGCAATGGTTGTTTAGTACCTAAGGCTGATGTCAGAAGGATCAGTCCGCGATCCGTCGCGGTTTCTGCTGATTTTGCGCAATTTGCCGATCACACGACGGGTCACGGAAATACGCCGATGTTGCCTTTAACGCTGCTGTTGAAGTGTCCGATCAATGACCTAGTTCTCCATTTCCGTAGCCGCCAGTTCTGCTTGAGTAGTGACTGGCTGAATGACGCTGCCTCATGCAATTCATTGTTCATATTCAAAGTGTTTCAATCTTCACACAACTTTTGCATATTATGCTGCGATTCCGTCCTCGCGAATCGCGCAAACGCGAAAGCAAAGAACCTGCGACGGATCGCGGAGTCTGACACCAGCCTAATGCTTTCAGCTGATTCTCCTGATCTCCTCCTTCCACCTTTCATAATCTCCTATCAAATCAAGTTGAACCTAATTTTTTCACTTTTCTTCTATTCTGCAATACATCTTTCGATTTAGTTTCTGCGTGTTTGGCGGCTCGGCGGTTTCCCTGTATGAATTTTTTTTCACTAAACACAGTTAATTACCAAAGCAATGCAACAGCTTTGTGATGCGAGTTTCTACATTGAGTTATCTGAAGGCGCAAATTACCGATCATTGTAATAAATATATTCTGAAAGAGCTTTGAAAACACATATCAAAACAACAAGTACCTATGGGAAGGAGAAACCATAATTTAGGCGCGTCCATGTACTTAGGGGGGCATCTCAGAAACGGGCATTCAAAAAGCGTGTATTCGGTAGGTGACACTACGACTAACGATAAGCCTAGAATTGGGAATAAACATCAGGGGAATAATGGTCTCTCGCATCGTCTCCCACAACTCTTTCCCACTTTCAGGCTTAGTACCGGTTCTATAGGTGGCCACTCACTTCATTGTCCCCCCCCGAAGGACGATGACGCGTCCACACTTCGTTTCAAGGTGGTTTTGGATGGCTAGATAGTTGTCTTTCATACTTCAGATTGAAAAACATGTGAATTGAGTAATAACCAAAAACCAAAGAAAGACCGATCTACCGTATAGAACTTATGGAAAGCGATCGTACCTTCGTAAGCATTAGCGCTCACCCATATTGCATATCAATATTGCATAAATGCTTTCTTGCGAAACCTTTTTCTGTGAACTGATAGAAAGCACTTTTCAACGTCTCACACTTGAGCAATAAACATCAAAGAGAAAATTCGGCGATTGAGAAGAACTCTCTGCGACTAACGCAATCAAAAGATCTTCTTTGTTCGAACGCAATAAATTTGCACAATCGGGAAATTGATATGACTCGGTCGGTATGGAAAAATAGACTTACGCTGTGCAGTGAGACGCGAAACAGATGATAAAATCAAAAAAAAGCTGTCGCTCGATGGAAACTTCCTAATGAACTTAACACGTGTGCATATTTCGATGAATGGAAAAAGGTAACGATGGTGATGAGCAAGTGAAATAGCGCTGCTGACGAGCGCGCTCCGCGGCTAAACCTGCCGGCCCACGCCCGCCGCCGCCCTGTGGTCGCTCGATTGCACGTGCGATCTGTGGCGATGAGTCATTTCGGGGGATGTCCTTGCTTTTGTTATGAGGAGGGGGTTGATCGGCGACGTCATGAGGCAAGCAGTTGTCAAGCCCGACCTATTCCGCCTTTTCATCACAACATCCCTATAAAATCACAGAGCCGAGTTCCAAAAATTCGAAGTCATCACCAAACTTGAGTCGCGGAGTCCGACACTGCTCGCGGCAGGGGCGGCATTATTAGCGCGAATGGCGTAGAGCCATTTCCACGTGCCACTGCGCATCACGTGGACACCATGGTACTGTCGGAGCAGGTTTGGGTACATGATAATTAAACGAGTAGTTCCGAGTGCATCACGATTACATCACCGTAGCTGAGCATTTCTCATTTCCGATCCTGCGGGATAGTCTTAATGAGATGGCACGTAATGACTTTACGAAAGCAAACAGCGATATGAGGCAGTTCTAAGGATAAATAAAGCATTTGCCGTTTGATCAATCCCTCTTGGGAATGCGGCACGCATTCTACTTCCATTTGTACATTCGCAGTGGCATTTGAATGCGATGTGGCCTATACAATGACTTGCGGGGGCCAGCCGATGTTCAAGTCAGTGTTTTTATCCTCCCAGACAAGTCTGGTACCAATTAACCGACCCCGGAGGGATGGAAGGCTTGGTTGGCCCGGGCGACTCACGACCCAGGATTTGATCCCCGGACCGCTCGCGTGGTGAGCGCGCCACTTGTCACTACACCACTTCCGCCCAACTCAAAGCTTCAAAGATTCATTAAAAATTCTAATTCAGAAACAAAAAATTGCTCGGGAAACAACTCAGTGCTTATTTAGTTATGCCGTGCTAGGTTGCGTATTGATATAGAACGGTCGAACAAGAAGGAACAGACAGCTAGAACTAAGCGTGGTCCGACACGGGTCACGGGCAAGGTTGTAGTGTCTGTACAAGAAACCACTGCTTCAGTTCTGCAGCAGGCAATGGGTAAAGCCAGAAATTGACTGGACGAAATAGAATAGGATGTTGGAAATAGAATGGTCCGAGCAATCGACGAGCCAGTCTCTGAATTCAGATAGACTCATGCACTCAAGACCTGATGAACCCGCCGTGCGCCTATCACGACCATTTTTTTGAACTGTTCCTTTAAATACTGTTATTACTCCTTCAATAATTCCGTTTTTGGCAATGGATGTGGATAGTTCTGGAACAAAAATGCTAAATAAATCAAACAAAACGAGTCTCCGTGTGAAAAGTAGTAGAAGCGAGTCTGCACCGTGCTGTGGTCATTATGTTGAAGGGGTTCATTATTCAATGAATAG